GAAGTTAGGTGTACTGTGTCCTATACACAAAAAGGGAGACATGATGGTGTGTGATAATTATAGAGGCATCACTCTACTCAATATGGCATATAAAGTGTTGTCCAACGTATTGTACAAAAGACTCCTCCCCTACGCCGAACAAATAGTGGGAGGATATCAGTGCGGTTTCCGTCCTAATAAATCAACAACGGACCAGATATTTACAGTGAGGCAGATCCTTGAAAAAACCCTAGAGTTCGGCGTCGACACCCACCACATATTTGTTGACTTCAAAGCCGCATACGGCTCCGTTAATAGAAATAAACTTCTACTTGCTATGGTAGAATTTCGCATTCCGTTTGATCTTGTCCGGTTAACTGAACTTACACTCACAGGTGCAGAGAGCATGGTAAAAATCCAAAACGATCTCTCAAGACCCTTCCATTGCACAAATGGACTAAGACAGAGTGATGGACTATCGTGTCTCTTATTTAACCTGGCATTAGAAAAAATAATTCGAGAGTCGCAGATTACTACGAATGGTACTATCTTTAACAAATCAGTACAAATTGTCGGATACGCAGATCGCATAGACGTCATAGGTAGGTCCACAGAATCTCTGACTGAAGCATTTCGGTTGTTAAGAGCATCTACACACATAATGGGACTAAATATAAATGTTCAAAAGACCAAATATTTGTGTTGCACTAGGTCAAGCAACCCGACACCTACACGAATAATAATTGATGACCTAGAACTGGAAGGTGTTGACACCTTCATATACTTGGGGTCGCTGCTAACCAAAGATAACAACGTCAGTGAAGAAATGAAAAGAAGAATAGTGCTCGCCAATAAGTGTTACTATGGCTTAAGAAGACAGATGACCTCAAAAATGCCTAGAAAAATTAAACTGACTGTATACAAAACACTAATAAGACCAGTGCTAACATATGGTTCAGAAACTTGGACACTAACACAGAATGGCCAAGAATTGCTCAAACGTTTAGAGCGAAAAATACTAAGACGAATATATGGAGGCATAAAAGAACAAGGTTTGTGGCGCAGGTGTTACAATTTTGAGTTGTATAGAAGATTTGGAGAACATGACGTTGTAAAATTCATTAAGGTAGCACGCCTCAGATGGATAGGTCATGTAATCAGACGAGAGGAAGATGCCATAGTCAGAAAAGTTTTTGACCGAAGAGGGCCGATCGGACAACGAAGAAGAGGAAGACCGAGACTTAGGTACCAAGACAACCTAGAAAATAATTTGAAGTCTATCGGAATTAGAGCGCGGAGAAGAGTTGCCAGAGACCGGGGCGAATGGAAGATTGTTCTGAAGGCTTTGGCTCATAAAGAGCTGTAACACCACTGATAATGATGATTTTTTTTTGTTAATTTTATTTTATTGAGAATATAATTTTTTCACATTGTGTAGGTATAATAGTTTTGCTTACGTGATGATTTGATAAGTTTTATGACGAACTTAAGTCCTTTATAAATCTCGGTTTAAGATAGGTGTTTAGCTGTATTCAGTAATTCTTCTGTTATCCATCTACATCATCTAGTTAGTATTCATGTCCTGATCCATCCCAATAACGCATTGGATTCTGAGCAACGGATCCTCCTAATATTGTTCTGAAGCTATTTTCTTGTGGTACTTCAAAATAATTACTATTTAAATGGATAAATTTCCACTTCGGAAATATCCGAAGTGGAAATTGAAACGTCAATAAACGTACTTTAACCTTTAATTGTGGATTATTTCCATTTAAATAGCAATTAACCGATCCTCCGTATGGTATTTGTGTACGACCGGCTTATTACCAGCTGATTTTCTTTTCTTTGGCCACCTTGGACTGTTTTTCATTATAACATGGCATCTACCTTGTCACGAATTCTCTGGGTAAATATCTAATGCATGGGCGTTACTGATTAATGGAACAGAATATATATCTTTATAGTCTAGTATAGAACAAACTACTTATCATATATTTTAAACAAAATCCGCCTTTTGAGCGAAAAAACTAAGCTATGAATAAAATTAGATATTTTTAACTAAATAATATTTCAAATACATTGTAAAAATAAAATAAAATTCACCTACGGTAATGAACTTTTTATTTTTCTTCTTTATAATAGAAAAAAAAAGAAAATGGAAAAGAGAGCAATTTTATTTGCATATTTTTTATTGTGAAACTTTTTATATATACTAAGACGCACGTAATCGAAAAGGTTATTCAAAAACTCTGATGGATTTACTAAAATTACGTAATATAGTATAGTTTCACGAAAGACATATCACGAAAGTTTTACTTGAAATATATCGTCACTCATTACAACTAGCTGACTAAACTCTAATCATTCGTTACACCTGAACTCCAAATTTTAAAACAGATCACTCAAGTGAGATTATTCATCACTACTGATACTAAATTATAATGGGAAATACTCTAAACCTATTCTTTCTATATAATACATATATAACACTAAGGGTTTCAGGTATAAAATATGTTTCCTCTTGTTTAAAATACAGCAAACCAAACAGCCAGCCATAATATGCGAAATCAAGATCACAGACACAAATCATATTACCTCAAACAGGGCTGGGTAAAAATAAAAGAATTTTTTCTATGACTAATTAAAAGACACTGTGTGATATTTCATCAGGAGAAAAGTCGTAATATGAAGTGATGTTGTGTGTGTGTGTAAGTACGTGTGTGTATGGGTGTGTATGTATGTATGTTCTTTAAGTCGGGGCGAGAATGAAAGAAAAGCTTTCAATGCTCAATTAGGAGACATAGAGAGAGAGAGAGAAAGAGAGAGAGAGAGAGAGAGAGTGTGTGTTTGTGAAAGCTATGACACGGAAACAAGTCCATCGGCCACAAAATGGTTTATTTATGTTTAACCACTAAATGTTTATGTTTTTTGATATATGTATAAATCACTGAAGTTATGCTAATTTATATATCTACTTTTACATATTTAATAAAATTTATTAGCAATTCTATGGTTTCTCTATTAGCAGTTGACAAAATGTGTGATAGACTTAGCGGAAGCAAATATTTCATTGCAATAATAGTTTAAACTAATTTAGTTGATTTTTCTAAATATTTGTTGCATCCAAAGAAAATATGGTTAAGATCTCAGTATCAGTATCTCAGTATCAGTATATGATAACTGCAGGATGATGCCGGTAATATTCCAAGCTTAAATAAATGCTATAGGAATCTACCATGATTCGTTTTTAGGTGAAATATACTTGACGAGAAGAATTTGGTAGTCGAGTAATTGAATATATATTGGGTTGGAAGGAGTAAAGTGGGGTGTATCTGTAAATACGTATTTTGCGAGTTTTCAACAATATTCTCCAATTGCTGTTCTCATTTCAGCATTTTTTTTTTTGAGTTAAATATATGATATTTCATCAGAAAAAAGAGTCATATCAGGAGGTAATTTGCACGTGTGGGTAAATTCAAGGGAGGATATAAAGCAATATATGGAAAATTAGACTTTGTAAGTAGAAATTATGCTAAATAAAATATGTTGCAGTTAGCAACAGTGTTATATGTAGCTATCGTTAACACATTCTTTCAAGAGCGAAAGTCAACTTATCGTTTTCAAATAACTAGATTATTTTCTGACAGTAATGGAAGATATACGTGAATGTAAGGACTGCAAGAAAATAGTTAGTGAGATTGTGAGCAAACAACATAAGTTGCTTGTGGTATATCGAAATAAAACGCGAAACGAAACCGAATTATCGGAGGACCATAAAAACATGAGATAGAAGGTCTATTCAGGGCAAGAATAGTAGAAAAATGAGCTGGAACATAAAACGAAGACCTAATATAATTTGTAGGAAAGTGGCTAGTATTATAGAGATATTGTTACTGAAAAAGATCAGGAAAGAAGTTAAAAAATAAAGATAACTTTAGTGGTCACACAAAGTACCAGAAAATATAAAGGAGAAGGCAAAACTATATGGTCTATATAAACAGAAGCAAGAAATAGGTCAAAACTACAAGAAGGTTGTCAAACAGAAAATGAAAGTAACAACAGCAAAATGTAAAAAGAAACATATACAAATCTATACGATAAACTTAATACCAGAAAAAGCCGAAGAAAAGATATATAAAATACATCAACATATAGCAAAGGAAGCACACGATTTTAACACGATTAGATGTGTCCAAGACGAAAATAATAACATAAGTTTATTTAATAAAGAATTTGACAGAAAACCAGTTGAGCTTACGCAGACAGTAACACCAATGGCCACCAAAATAACAAACAAAGAAGTTGTGCAAACATTTCAAAAATAATAAAAGATAAAGCATTTGGATCAGATGATATTCCTGGAAGTACTGACAGCCTAGAAGAGACATAAACAAGTTGGTTAACAGGTTTGTTTGATAGAATTATGGAAGTGAGACAAATGCTAGACGAATACAGAAGTAATGTATTAGTAAAGCGAAGGAGATATAAAACAATCCACAATCTACAGGGTTGTAAAACTACTTTGTAACATCGTGAAGAGACAGTAATTGATACACGGATACGTCAAAAAAACCGAAATATCTGAAAATAAGTCTGGATTTATGCAAGGCAAATCAGTAACAAAAGCAATTTTCATTATAAGGTAAATTATGGAATAATAAACCACGCTCATAAGATATTCACTAAATTCACTCATCTTGGGAAAGCATATGATAGAGTATCTCGATAGGTTCTGTGTTGTAATAACGTTTTGTTGTAATGTCTAAAACCTATGAAGTTATCTTGATTATATATTTGAATAAACATATCAAATGTAAACAAGATTTTTCTAAAGCTAACATCATTTGAGACAGTTAAAACTTAATAATTAGCTAATTTACTTTAGAACATCCAGTCATATAAACCCAAACAAACAACTACTTTAAAACATGTAAAAAATATAAAGAATTAACGTAACAGATACATCAATACCTGGCCTAACTATTACGTATATCTGTGATTGTTTCATGAAGTATGAAATTGACCGACAACTGTCAAATATGTCAAAATAAACAAACCCCGGTCCACTAACCTCAAAATTAAAAAATGTCAAGAATTTAGGTTTATATCTTTAATTATTATGGCTTCTCACGGAAAAGCGGAAACTGAAAAACTAAAGCAAAATTTGGAGAATCAGTTGGACAGATTAGTGGAACAGCTGCAGGATTTGGAGAATTGCAAGCAAGTTTATTTCATATTACTATTAGAAGATAAGAAAGATATACTTGACTTTCAAAATGAACTATTTGGCTTATCACAAATGCGTTTAAACCTGAATACGGGGATATATGTAAGCTGACCGGTCTGAAAGGAATACTTGTTATTTTACGATATAAAATATTGTCTTATTATACCTTTATATTGCCTGCAATGGATCTACTAACAATGTATTGATTACATTCACCTGCATGACATATTGTTACTTGTTACTGCAGCAGCAATTTTCATAAGTTGTTTGGTTAAATACGAATGGAATACAGAATGAAAAATTTGATTATAGAGACATGTAGGTAAAAAAAGTTGCTTTAACAACTTTTTGTTCTAGTCCTTCCTGTATTGTTAATTTAAAAAGAAGGAATGGTGAAGTTTAATATTTACTTTTGCAGGTGTATGTCACAGAGTACTGAAACCTAAGTGCTAACTTAAAGGTCTAATGTATCTATAAAATGTCTGGTTTTTGTTTATGAATCTTTTCTTCTATATTACCACAGCCCTTTCAGATTTTTCTTCTTCACTAGTTTCTTTTTATTGTATAGAAGAGGTTTTATTCAGGTGTATGGGTTAAAAATTATATTTTCTGGTTCTGGTTTCCATGAAAGATTTTGATATTTGATTACTTGTAACATTTCCCAGATTTTTTATATTTTATTTCTGGTGCCACTTCTAGTACAGTTATGCTGCTACCGATTCAATAGAAAGGTCCAGTTCTCAAGAATACTTTCCCTTTAATAACTTTTTCTTGCTGTTATTTCCTCTCTCCTCCACTGGCCCAAGACTACAAGATCTGTAAATTTACAAATGTCCAATTAAAAATACTTTGCTGTTATGTTATATTAATATCAAGGAATATAAATGCATATAGAAGCACATTTCAAATGGGACAAAGGGTCAGGGTTAGTATACTTCTAAATACTAACCCTGGTAAATAGATGGTAACTGCATAAACTTTATTATATTATTTGTAGATTTCTACACATTTGTATTAAAAAATTTAAATTACAGTATTGTTTATAGTTCTTCTTCTTCTTCACATACCATCTCCTCTAAGAAGGTTGGCAACCATCATATCAATTCACACTTTCGACGCCTCTGCTCTAAAGAGGTCAGCAGAAGTGCAGTTAAACCAAGCTCTCAAATTATTCAACCAGGAAATGCGTCTTCTTCAGCGACTCCTTCTACCCTGTATTCTTCCTTGCATTATTAATTGCAACAAGTTATACTGCTCACCCCTCATAAAGTGTCCCAGATATTGCAGTTTTCTGACTTTAACTGCAGTTAGGAGTGTAAATGCATGTTTTGTAGTAAACTAAACATTTTATATAAAATTTAGTGTATTGGGAGCATTATACAGTACATCAATTTAATATTGTATGTGTTTAGTAATACAGAATAGTTTATCAGCTTACTGTGCAGTTAAAAGTACATTATCTTAGTGTTGCATTCAATTAACATAAAAATACATTTGGTAAGTATACTGTAATTTTATTAAATTGAGGTTTCACAGTACTGCTCGAGCATAATATTGAGGATTTAAATCATCATCATCATCTACTATTATGACTGGTGCAGCTACGCTATTAACATCATACTTGGCTGAGACTATTGTAGAAATTTCATTTACCATTACCAAAGGTAGAACATGATGGCCCTCTTTTGAATCCAACTGCTAATGGATTTGCAGCTGCACGTTTGTATTGAAATAAACATACCATTTTGGCCAGTGATTACTGTTTTTCTTTCTTTTCCAGAATTACAAGACATTGACATCAAGTCCCTTGAATTCAAAAATATAAATGGTGACAAAAAGGAATTCAACTGTATGTAAATGAAATCGTTTTCTGAAAAAAATATTTTACTTATTTTTTTTACTGAAGACATTTTCCAGTTGATTGTTAAAGAAACAAATAGAGCTGCTCTTCAAGAGAATATCAACATCACATTTTCTGTGATTGAAGTACAAATTTGACATTATATTGGCATACTGATATATATGTCTTTGTACAGGTATCCACGTTTAGAAAGCTATTGGAGGACAAACTCATTTGAATAGATTCGCAATACAATGACCTGTAGGCAATTCGAGAATATAACAAAGTATTTATGCTTTGCTGACCCACAACAATGTTCAAAAAAGGCAAACCAGGATATGATCCTTTGTTTCGTATCAGGACAATTTCACAGAACATAAATGAACGTTTTGATCCTATACCAAAGACACCACAGCTTTGCGTAGATGAACAAATGTGTTCAACAAAAATGCAACACCATTTACGCCAATACAAGTCTAATAAATCCCATAAATGGGGAATCAAATTAGTTGTCCTATGCGACTCGTACAGATACTCTTATAGATTTTAAAATTTACAATGGAGCTGGAAATAATGCCATCCTACCAGGAAATCCTGATTTTGGTGCATTGTCAAATATAGTTATTCTATTTTCTCAGACTATCCCTGACTTCAAAAACTACATTATCTACTTCGATACATTTTACACTTCATTGCCACTGCTAATTTATCTTCGCATATGGGGTATTTATTTCTTGGGAACTATTTGAGTGAATTGAATTAGTAACTGTAAATTACTAGCTGATACAGATAAGCAACTGGCCAAAGAAGAAAGAGAAAGAAAGGGAAAAGATATACTGTGAAATATATAGCGATGGCATATGGTATTAAAGTAAGTCTGTACTTGTATGTATAAAAAAATGTATGTCTAGCTTCCAATTATGTAGGACTTCAGTCATTTAAACGAACACTTGATTAAGAACAACCAAAAAAAGTAGTTCGTTATGACAAAAAAAAAGCGGTACATTGACGTAGACTGTCCACAGGACGTCAAAGAATTCATATGTGTCATATGGGTAGTGTAACAGTTATATGGGTGGTGTTGATCTTATGGAGGGTCTAATGTAAGTTTATCACCTGATTGACATAGCACGACCTGAAAAGATCAAATTACCACTGTTTCACGAGGAAATAACTGCTGGTATCTGCAAATACGCACCAATCCGTGCAGTAGGAAGACCTTTAAATCAGACGAGCACAACCCAATATGTCTAGGACTGGAACAAACTCGCTTCGTTGATTGAGGTATGCATGACAAAACCGGTCAGAGAAGGTTCAAATATTGTAAGAAGTCTGATACTCAAGTCACGGATGACCATAACCATAACACGGATGGTTATGGTCATCCGTGCTCTGATGTATTGCATGAAGCGCAATCTCAATTTATATATAACAACATAAAAAAACTGCTTCTTTGATTTCCATCATAGATAGTTCACTATTTTTTGTATTTTGTACTGCTCTGAGGGTTAAGCAAGTTCCATTGCTCTGTAAGAAACTTGGTGAACTTCATGATAATTTTTTAAAATAAACTTGAATAGTTTAATAGCAGTCAACCTTATCCATTGTTAAATTCGGTTATCAAATCTGATGCTTTCATGTTGATATGAGTGAATGATAATATTCATAAATAATGTTCAATTTTTTCTGAATCTAGTTAGAATTATAAATATGCTTTATTGTCACTGAAAATTGTACAATTTTATGGATAAAGCTCACAAAAGGCCAAAAAATAACAGTAAGAATTAAAATTTACTGAATTGACATAAATCGTAAATATCACAAAATAAAAGATAAAATAAAATGCAAATTACATAGTGAAATCTTAACTAATTCCACTTTATGTGTGAAGTGCAAATTGCATAATAAAAGCTTAACTAATACGTTGAAGTTGTTGCCTATGATACCCAAATACATATATTAATAAAGGTACTGTAATTTCTTAGTCATTCATTACGGAACTCTTCTACTGAATAATATGATCTTTCAGATAGATAGGCTTTTGTCATTTTACGGAACTTAGGGAAAGATGTTGCAGATTTAAGTTGTAAAGGGAGATGGTTGTATAATGTTTTTGTCGAATATAATGCAGATTTCGTTTCTCCGGTTCTCAAAAAGTATGTAGAGCGTTAGAATAATTTTAATAATTTTAAACTGTTTGTCCCTTGTGTTAATGTATTGTTTTGTACAATTTTATGTCCACTTTATTCATGTGTATTACATTCTACGCTTGCTGGATAGCCAAAATTTGACGAAATGCCCCTGAGGATGCTGTAGATAGCGAAAGTACTTGGGCAAGATTTGATTAAACTTGTGCTCGATATTTGCCTTAATTTTTCAAAGTTCATTTATTCGAGTATTCAACCTCATATCAATTATATAATACAGATTTGTTTAATAACTCAGTGGACGGGAGTAGTCATGATTAGGTCTTGTTGGAAAAATAGGAATTATGCAAATAGTTTCTAAAATATATAAAGACGGGAGCGTTAAAATCCCGTGATTTTTGAAGTAGCTTCTGCAATGTGTTGATCTTCTGAGGCCAAACAGATACTGTATTGCTCTTTTTTGTAATTTAAAAATAACATGAGATTTTGCAGCTGTACTAGAACCCCAAAAAGCAAGATCATATCGAAGATATGGTCTTCCTTATGAAAAGTATGTTATTTTGGCAGATGCCAAATTGCTTTCCTTCGAAAGAGATCTTGTTGCATAGCAGGCTGAGGCTAGTTTCTTACTTAATAAATCCATATTAAGGGACAATTTAAGGTTGCTGTTTATAAAATACCGAGAAATTTTACAGAATCAACGATACTAATCTGGCTGTAGAGGGTTAAAGAGCTCCTTTATAGGATAATACTACTGTCTTATCCACGTTTAAAAGAGAGTAAATTAGAGTTGGAACAGGTTTTTATTTTAAGTAGATAAGAAATTATAGTTGCATAAGGAGTTGCAATATTATAGTTGCTCTAGGTGATACTGGTATCATCAGCAAACAGAAACATGTTTCCATCGATTTTTAAATTAGTGATGCCATTTATAACGAAATGGAAAAGTAGAGGACCCAGTACTGAACCTTGTGGTAATCCACATACAATGCTTTTGTGACCAGAGTCAGTATAATTTGCTCTAACCAGTTGTTTCCTATTCCCCAAGTAAGATTGGAACCAATTTAAAGAAATACCTCGAATTCTGTACAAATTTCTATTTTTATAAAATTATGTGATTTATACAATCAAAAGCTTTGGCATAGTCACAAAAAACAGTGACAGACTCAGTGGTAAACCTCATGTAGAACATGAGGTTTACCACAGAAAACATAACATCACTGGTAGATTTTTTTAGATAAAAAGCTAAACTGATTTTATGATAAAAGGTCGTTTTCAACAAGAAGGGACATAAATCGGACTTTTATAAGTTTCTCAACAATTTTGGATAGTACCGGTAGTAAGGCAACATGTCTATAGTTGCAGGCATTCGATTTTCACCACCTTTTTGAAGAGCTATAATAATGGCTGTCTTTTGGCACGTCGGAAATGTACCTTTTTTAAAGGAATCATTAATTAGTGAGACCAGGACTTTTAACACATTTTTTGGGAGATTTGAGAAAATTTTTCTGGATACCTAGTCCTTCAGTACTAAAGGAAGATTTGCATGATACTATTGATTGTTTGGATCAGTTCAGATTTATCAACCTGTCTTATATAAGAATGAATTCGAGACCCTTTTCGAATCGGAAAGATAGGAAATAGGATCTAGTTGTGGCAAAATAGTTGATGTTATATTTTTACTCACATTAACGAAGTATTCATTTCGATTTTCAAGGTTTGGTCAGAAGTTTAAGGGGTGGTCAGAATAGTTAAAAATAATCGCAAACTGGACTATTTTGGCCATGTTATTATGTCATCCAGATAGGTATAATATAGTTTATAGTATAACATGTTTAATAATACAAGATGAGATAGACGGAATAAGAGGACCGGGACGAAGAAGAACGTCATGGCATGGAAAACTGAGGGAATGTTCCTCTGTATCCCTTTTCCGAGCTGCCATCAACAAAATTGGTATAGCTAATTTGATAGCCAAAGCACGATAATCAGCATGGCACAGAAAGAAGAAGATATAATATTAACTAGTCACTTCATATAAATCGCCTCCAAATAAACCTCTGAAAGCCATTTCCCACATTGTGTATGCTAACACTAAAGTTCATGTGAATGGTTTTTATGTTCCAAAATTCAGTTTTAAAAAATCTATTTATTTGTCACATGTAACCTTTTTTTATTTTCTACTGTTACTTCTTTGTCTATGTTTTAATTATCCCAGTATATAACTCATTTTAAATTTGTAGAAATGAACTGGATAAAGAGGAATACGAAGAAACAAAAAATGACACTATGGATCAACTTAAGGAGCTTAATGATAGTTTAAGTAAATTAGTAAAAGGGGATATTTCTCTAATTAGTGCACTAAGTGCTGTTCAACTGGTAAGTATTGTAGTTATTGCTAGTTTGTTTTATAACTTTTTATAACCTTCTATTGACGAAACCTTATGATACAATACCCATATGTAGACTATTGCATGTACTCGAAAGCTCACCTATTAATACTACACTTGTGAAAACAATAAACCGATTCTACTTGCAAAATTACTTTTATCCCAGATACTTAAACTGAAGAGTGAAGTGAAGAGTTACAGCGCATTGACAGCACCAAGATGATGCGCTTCTACTACATAGTTCAAATCCAAAGTTCAGTTCAGAAACGAAATGAAAATTGCCAAACAATACTCGCCATCGTATTATTTCGTTTGATTATTATTTTGATTTTGCATATCGTTTTGACCAGTAACTTTTTCGAAAGTGTATATATTCGGTATCTAACTACTACAATTTATTGCAGATACAACGTGCACGTGCGTTTTTTATTTTTATCTACTATTTTGTCTATATTGATGTGCCAACGTGATCCTACAGATATTGTATGAGTTGATCAACACCTTTTAGTAATGTATCCAATTCATGTCCAATATGGCGGGAAAATGGCAAAACATGATCTTGTATCTTACTTACTTACTTAGTCCTAAGCTTTTCTACCGTTCGGTGTAAGGCTGGTGGAGTTAAGTTTTGCACTGTTGTCTCCATGCTTTACGGTCTTGTGTTAGATTTGGTGCACTTTCCCATGTCAATCCTTTCTTCTCAACTTCTTTTCTGATTTCGTCTACCCACCTAACTCTTTGTCTTCCTCGTTTGTTTTTCCCTTGCACTCTCGTTTCAAACACTCGTTTTGTTAATCTTTCTATTATACATGATTGTAGGTCTAACTACTGATTTAACGTTTTTACCTTCTCCGGTATTTCTTTTTTCCCCAAAAATGTTGTTTTCATAGTGTTAAATAAGCCTCCTGTTCGTCCCATTCTCTCATTTATTTCCATGTCTTGTTTACCGTTTGATTCAATTATTACTCCTAGGTATTTAAAATGTTCCACTTGTTCTAGTTGTTTTCCGTTTAATTGTATTGCGTGTGTCTTTCTCTTATTTGAAATTATCATTGTTTTTGTTTTCTCTGTATTTATCTTCATATTTATGTTTGTCAGTTCTTCTTCTAGGATTTTAAGGTTGTTCTGGAGGTCTTCTCTGTTTTCTGCTATCAAAACCATGTCGTCTGCAAATAGAAGCTCTGATAGTTGAGTCTGTTTCATTTGCCAGTATCCTAATGTTAGTTTTCTCATTCTTCTCTTGGCTTTCTTTATTGCTTCATCCAGTACCACTGAGAACAGCAGTAGGCTCAACACGCATCCCTGTTTGACGCCTTGACTTGTAGTAAATTCTTCGGATTCCTCGTTATTGGTTCTCACCGTATTTGTATTATTATTGTACATATCCTTTATTACATCAATTGTTATCCTGTCAACTCCTCTTTCCTTTAATATCCTCCATACGTCCTTTCTTTGGATTCTGTCAAACACCTTTTCCAGATCAATAAAGCATATATGTATTTCTCTATTTTTATTGATTACTTTCTCACTTACTTGTCTTATTGTTAAATATGTGGTCTTGTGTGCTTCTTTCCATCCTGAATCCACATTGTGTATCTTCCATAGTTGGTTCTAGTTGGATTTTTATTCTTGTTTCTATTATTCTTGCGAATACCTTCCCAGGAATACTTGATATAGTAATACCTCGGTAATTATTACAGTTTCTCTTTCTCTACTCAAATACGTATTCAAATAGATTAGAATAATAAGATAAAATGAGAGCTTATACACACACACACACATACACACACACACACACACACACACACACACACACACACACACACACACATATATATATATATATATATATATATACATATATATATATATATATATATATATATATATATATATATATAATATATATACATAAAATATTTAAATGCTTTATGTACCTGTCGAAAAGTTTTTGTATAATGTAAACGCATGAGAAGCTTAGCTTAGGACATTGCATTTGTTTAGAATTACATTTTGTTTTACATTATTTGTTTACAACGGGCGGCACTATGATACCATCAAGTGTCGATGTTGCGCATTCCTTAACTACGTTCCAAAGAGTATTAATCAAGCTATTTAAAACAATAATTAATTAATTTAGTGCACTCTATTGTATTTAAGCTAAACTTTAATATATGTTATTTTTTAGGCTACACAAGCCGCCATATCAAAGGCCTTTAAGACACCAGAAGTCATAAGACTTTTTGGCAAAAAAGAACCTCAACAGTTGCGAGAAAGGTTGTGTATAATCGACGAAGAAGTGAAGCTAAATAGGCTCAGTTTAGAAGCTAGAGACACTCAGAAGGTATTTAACCGTTATGAAGTATTATGTAATTTAATTTATTGGCAGGTAGTATATTTTCGCTGATTTTCGCATGTTCTTCTACACCTATGCCTGTGGGTTCTACATTTTAAATATAGTATGTCGTTCTCTGCTTTTCCTGAAAACCGTGTGTTATAAACCGGTCGCAATGCAGCCAACTGGCTTATTGTATTGTAACATTTTTTAATTTTTTTCCTGTTAAAACCTCCATGGGACGTAACTTTAAAATGTTAGAAAAGACATACATACTTTCTAATGGTTCGTTTTTATCGTATTCTTACGAGTATTTAAGAACTTTGGAGTGCTGTAAAACCCAGAGAAATTATTGAAATTAAACAAATTTGTAGTGAAAATTATTCCTTGAAAAACTTCCTATAATATTGCTTTAATTTTAGTTATTTTTGATTATAATAGCTAAACAAAAAATATTAGTTATTTTAGTTTATATATATATATATATATATATATATATATATATATATATATATATAAGCGAGGTTTCTACAGCCTCTGCCCCTTCTCGCATTTCGACCGCCATCGTTCTCTGTGCATCCATTCGTCTTCTTTCATGGCTCTATCTCTCATTAGGTGTCGTACATTTTCTTCCCAGGCAACTGAAGGCGTTCCCCTTCTTCTTCTTTGTTGTGGTATGTAATTTAAAGCTTTCTTTACCCATGTATCTTCATTCATTCGCTTCACATGACCATACCACACTAGTTGTCTCGTTTCAATTCTGTCTATACTGGAATATACAGTATTTGTCCTCCTTCTAGTATCTTCATTACTGATGTGATCTTTTTTGGATACATCACACGCTCTCCTTAGAAAATCCATTTCTACTACTTCTATTCTTTTTCTATCTTTTTTCGTGATCTGCCAAACTTCTACCCCATAAGTCATAATAGGCTCTACCAAGGTCCGATAGATTGTCAATTTCGTTTCTTGTCCAATATCTTTAGACCATAGTAGAGTTGAGAATGTTAACTGCTTTTTTTCCCTGCTGCGTTCTGTTTTCGATGTCTATTTTTGTTTATAATTATTTTATTTTCCATTTTACAATTAGAAGTAATAGGAATACAGTTGTAGACAATTTAATTCGTTAAAAATAATATCCCATATAATTTTCTGTAGGGTTACTACTTTACGAGATACAGCGAGAAAACCCTTTGCTCCTCTTTTCCTAGATGGCGCCCAGGGAACAAGGTGACGACCCTATAACTGAACTTACGTTTATACTAACCACCCCTACACATCAAAAAAAGATAATTGCGTGTTCTCAAAATGTAATCTCAATGTAACTTTTCCATGGACTATAATGTCTTCTTTCTCTTTTTTGATATAAATAAATTGCCCGTTTTGTTCCTATTCGTGTGGATAATTTCGTGTCATCTCTTTCTTTCCAGGGCTATTCTAAATATTGTGTTCTTTACCATTCTGCTAATGTGGCAGTTCCATTTTATTTTTCTTTCTTGTACCAATTCATTAATATTGTATATTCTGCATAGGTTTCTCATGTCATTGCTTCTTGTTCTTCTAGTATCTTATTTGTCTCCAAATAGCTGTGCTTGTATGTCCTGTTTCTGCTGTATATGTCATGACAAGTCGGATTACAAATTTGTGTATTTACGCGTTTTTGTCTAGTTTTAAGTGTTAATTTCACCTTATTGTGTCATTAAGGCACCCTGCTTCTCCGCTTGACTGTGTCACGTATCCCCTTACGTTCAGTTCAATATTATTGATGGTTTATCAGTTTAATAGTTATAATAAATATAAGTTTATTCAGTTTTATCTTAAGTTTTCACCTTGTTGGTTCCTTTAACGATACTAAACTTTTCATAATACACTGCACCCCAAAATTAACGCATAATTTTAAAAACCCTGGTAAATTAAATAATTTTAATGTTTCGATTTTTGTGCTAATATATTATCGTTACCCCCGGTATATTGTAAAATTTATCGAAATAACGGTAAAAAACGCTGATGTTTTTATCATTTTTTTGCAAAAAATTAAAAACATGCTAATTGTGCTTCATTTTATTTCGAATTTAGTTGGGTTGGATTTCGTTGTTCTGAACGTTTAAAGGGGTTTTTCAAGTTTATTAAGTGTTTTTTCCTTTGAAATGAACCACCTGCAGCAAGAAAATCGAAATTTGTCAGAAAGTCACTGTTTTAGAATCGTTACTCTTCGCGAAGAAGGATACACTCAAGTAGAACTCGCTGAACGTTTTAACGTCACCCAGTCAACAATTTCAAGAGTGTTAACACGTTTTTCTGTTACTGGAAGTAGCTCGAGAAGACCCGGTCAAGGCCGTAAAAGGGTTACAACTCCTAATCAATACCGGTTTTTGACACTTCGTACACTGAGACAAAGGTTTGTTTCCAGTACTTCTCTACAAAATGAATTTTTGAATCGTTATAACTTTAGAATCAGCCAAAATACAATTAGAAGAAGACTTGCCGAAAACGACCTACACCCTGGAAGGGCACCAATTGGCCCATTATTGACCCGAGACCATAGAAGGCAAAGATTGAATTTTGCTCGTGAACATGTTGATTGGAATAATGACGATTGGGGAAGAATATTGTTCACCGATGAATCCAGGTACTGTCTTTTTTCTGATGACAGGAGAAACCGAGTGTATAGAAGGCCTGGGGAACGCTACGCACAGTGTAACACCGTAGGGACTGTACAGTATGGCGGCGGCTCGGTAATGGTATGGGGTGGGATTAATTTAGAGGCTCGTACGGAATTAGTTAAAATAAATCACGGTCGGCTTACATCGCAGAGGTATATAACAGACATTTTAGAAGAGCATGTCGTGCCATTTGTACCATTTATTGGGGATAATTCCATGCTTATGCAAGATAATACCACGGCAAGAATTGTGCAGCAGTATCCTCAGCAGGTTGGAATTCCTGCCATGGATTGGCCTGCGAGAAATCCTGACCTTAACCCAATAGAACATGTTTGGGACATCATAGGCAGACGACTACGACAACTACCTAATGCACAAACACATTAGATGAACTGTTTATGCGGTTGGTTGAAATTTGGGATCAAATTGATCAAGAAGAAATCAGAACGATTATTCTCAGTATGAGAGATCGTTGTCAAGCAGTAATAAATGCCAGAGGAGGCAATACTCGATACTAGTACACGGTAGTAGTATTTTCTTCAACTTTAAAAACTTTTTCTTCATTAATTTATGATGTTAGTTTGTTTAGATCAGTTCGTTTAGATGTTATGATTTATGTTAGGATGTTATATTGTTAATTTCAATACATTTTTTGTAAAAAAAGAATAGTTTTATTTAAGATGTTCTAAAACAACCATAAAGCAGAAAAGAACAAACAAAACTTTTTTCATTACAACTCAAAATAAGAATTTTAAAATTATGCGTTAATTTTGGAGCGCAGTGTATTTGATAAAATCTTCATATTAAATCGTTTAGCTTTGGTATTAAACTGGTGTAGTATTCTTTGAAGATCATTTTCGTTCTCTGTTATCAAAAACGTGTCATCAGCATTGCATATTTTTTTTATCTCTTTGTTTCCCGTTTGGTATGTTTTTTTTATTATTACCAGATTAAAACCTCTAAATTATTATATTAAATATAAGAGATTAACTATTACAACTGGACTCCCCTGTCTGATTCCAGTTGTATTGTTTTAAGATTCTGTTGTTTCTATTTGAACTTTTACTTCGGTTCTGTTTCTTACATTAGGTTCTCTATTATTTTATGATATCCACTCATATTGTCTGCGTACAGTATGTGTATAGACAAAAGACATGTAGGCTAGTTTATTGTATTATTATACACTTCTCTTCTGTTTGCCTAACTACACAGACGGCACCGTTACATGATGTTCTGCTTACAGAAACTTGTTGTTTGACTTATATACTAATCTTTTCTTCAGATTATTTGTTATTATTTTTATTAATAATTTCAAAATAGTACTTAAAGTATTTGGGTCGCATTTTACACCTGTTGTAAAAAGAGAAATCATAATACTCGTTTTCCACTCCTCATGTATTCGTGATGACCTTAACCCTTCATTACATATTATGGCTAACTGTTGTATAAGCTGTATTTCACCATATTTTATTAGTTCGTTTTGTGTTTTTCAACTTTGTGATGGCTTCTTTTATCTCATGTTTCTATCATTTGCGTTAATTCATTTGATGTTATTTCTGGAGTTTCAAGAGCATGTTCATTTTTCGTTGTTCGGTTTATTTGTCTAATATACGTTGTCCATTCTTTTTATTAATGTGAATAACTTCTATTTCTATTCTTTGTTCCTCTTATGAACTTTCACGTCTATTTTTGTTATCCGTAATAATCGTGTTCCATTTCTTTCGACAACCTTTCCTATTTATCTTTTTCTTCGGTCTGATTAGCCCATGTGTCTTGTTACGAACTCTCTTATATTCATAAGTCTCCTGCGTTATTTCAGATCTATATTTCAGAGAAGCATTCGTTTTTTCAAATATATTTCTATACTTTAGGTAAGCATTATAGTGTACGTTTTCTTTTGTTTAAGTTTATTTTTATTCCTCCAAGAGACTTGTTTGCTTTTGGCAAGAGCCGTGCAAGCTTGCCATGAGTTCGCTCTGATGAGCCAAGAGGCAGAAATGTGCATATCAGCGAATGGTGGTACGCTGTAACGAAATCAAACCTAAACCGTCTATTTTATTTTTATTTTTAAATCAAAACCCTTTCATACTCTCAGAACCCATTTTTGGCATGTTCAGAATTACGCTTAATTTCAATGTTTGCCGTCAAGTAATATTAATACCGATTTTTTTCTCAAAAGTCAAGACAATCACTTTAGTTTTATTGTACAGGGTTTCTCATTATATTTTGACCCCCCACTTATTTTCCTTAATTTCGGAATACAAAAAAACTTTCAAATAAAAGTTGTATTATTTTATCTGTACCGACCAACAGTGTAGCAACAGACCAAATTTTGTATACAGGGAG